CCAGAACAAAGTCTTTTATCCTTGGATCCTACAGACATACAAGCCCACTGTCCTACTTTAAGTACCTGCGAGGTATTCAGGGTGACACTTTTTGCCAGGATAATCACAGCTAATTTGCATCAATTGCCATTCAAGCTGAATGTGTAAACAATTGTCCCAGCACCTCTTCTGACGTTTTGATACGTCAAAGCTTGAAAAAAAATCAGCCCTGAGATAACCCCACCATCTGTTTTTCCCTAGTAGAGCAGGCACATGATATGACATTCCACGTGATGGAGTTACTACACATTTCCAAGGGTAACTTTACCCTTGGTTCACAAGATTTACTATGTAATACAGCTATCGATCATAAGCTCTCTTCATTTTCATTACATAGGAAAGTTAATTTGGGACATAGTAACTACACCCCAGGAAATTATGCAATCATGCACCAGTGCAATTTGGCACATAAAATGTACGGCTAGGCAAAATTGCATAATTTTGCATAATTTAACCCAGGTGGGCTCTGCCTCCACCTCTGCAGGGATCCCAGCAGTTCAGCTGGGAGCATCATGTAGAGGCAACAAGCGCGGTGGCATGCAACTGGACAGCTGCTGAGTGGGGAGGGGAGCTCATGCCTGCAGAAGGGGGTGGGGTGAGTGTGGGGTTTGTGAGTGGGCATGGGGTTTGTGGCTATGAGTCACTGTGAGTAGGTCCCCCACCCATGGTCCACAGCCCCTGCAGCCACTGGTGGCAGCAGCAGCTGGTAGGCCCTCACAGCTGCAGCAGACAGAGCCCCCCAGCAGCATGCCGCTCCAGCTGAGTCCTGGGGGCTGCACATGGTGACCTGGAACCAACCCAGCCAGCCCATTGGCTCACACCTTCAATCCAGACCGGGCTGGCTCTGTGCCAGCACACCGGGTTTGTGGTATTACAGGTCGGAGTCACGTGTTATCAGGCTGCGTGGGCTCTGTGCCTCCATACAGGGCTTGCAGCACTCCAGCAAGAAGCTGCACATGGAGACACAGAGCTAGCCTGGCCCAATGGCACATTACTCTGTGCCTCCACATGTGGCTTCCCACTGGAGTACTGGAAGACCTACAGAGAGGCACAAAGCCCACCCGGCCTGAGGGCGCACAGCTCCTGCCTGCAGTGCTGCAAACCCCATGTGCTGGCATACAGCCAGCCTGATCTGGTCTGAAGGCACATGCCAGGGAGCCAGGGTAGACTGGCTCTATGCCACCACATGCACGCCTGGGACTCGGCACATACTTTTGGATTTTTCTGCATATAATTTTGATTTTTTCTGCACAACGTTCCCTAGGGTGTAAGTAACCATGTCATTTGTCTATAACCAGTACTGAGTAGGGACAAGAGAAATCATATGCTATTTAACTAAACCTAAAGATTCCCAAGCAAATGCAGTCAGTGTCTTAGCATGTGTCAAAAGTTCCATCACTTTTTGACAGAATTATGTGAACTGTTTACAGAGATATTTTTAAGAAATAAAAGGAATATCACCATCATCTTTCAGGCTACAGATGAGCTGAATATCGGTTGTTTTACATTCATGTAGGAATATATCATCCTTTTTAAATAGCACATGTGCCTATAAAAAGATGGCTTTTCACATGCCACTGAACACACTTCATACCTTTCCAACCCCCACTCCCCATGGTACTAAAAGGCACATCTATATCCCCACAGAAAGACTGAAAAAATGCAGTTTGGAGCTTCTAAACCAAATCACATTGGAAACCAAATTCATAGATTTCATAGACATCAGGGCTGGAAGGGACCTCGGAAGATCATCAAGTCCAGCCCCCCGCCCAAAGGGCAGGAAGTCAGCTGGGGTCATAGGATCCCAGCAAGATAAGCATCCAGTTTCATCTTGAAGGTGTTCAATGAAGGCGCTTGAACCACCTCCGGTGGCAGGCTGTTCCAGACCTTGGGGGCTCGGACAGTAAAGAAATTCTTCCTTATGTCCAGCCTGAAACGATCTTGAAGTAGTTTGTGACCATTCGACCTCGTCATCCCTTGGGGCGCTCTGGTGAACAAACGTTCCCCCAGATGCTGGTGGTCACCCCTGATAAACTTGTAGGTGGCCATCAGATCACCCCTGAGCCTGCGCTTTTTCAGGCTAAAGAGCCCCAGGGCTCTCAGCCTGTCATCGTAGTCTGCTTCCCTGACCTCTGATCATGCGCGTGGCTTTTCTCTGGACTCTCTCAAGCTTCTCCACATCCTTTTTGAATTGTGGAGCCCAAAACTGGACACAGTACTCCAGCTGCGGCCTCACTAAGGCCGAGTACAGGGGGAGAATGACGTCCCGGGATTTGCTTGAGAAGCATCTATGGATGCAAGCCAGCGTTTTGGTCGCTTTACTAGCCGCCGCATCGCATTGCAGGCTCATGTTCATCTTGTGGTCAATGATGACCCCCAAGTCTCTTTCTTCCATAGTGCTAGCCAACATAGCACTGCCGAGCCTATAAGGATGCTGCGGGTTTTTTTTCCCAAGGTGGAGAACCTTGCATTTATCGGCGTTGAACACCATCAGATTCTCGTCCGCCCACTTGCTGAGCCTGTCCAGGTCAGCCTGGATAACCTGCCTGTCTTCTGGTGTGGATGCTTTGCCCCAAAGTTTGGTGTCATCGGCGAACTTGGCCAGTTCTGATCGCTTCTGACTCCAGTGTCCACATCATTAATGAAGATGTTGAACAGTATGGGTCCAAGGACAGAGCCTTGGGGGACCCCACTGGTCACAGGACACCACGATGAGTGACTTCCATCGATTACTACCCTCTGGGTCCGACCCCGGAGCCAATTTTCCAGCCAGTGGATCGTGGAGGACCCAAGGCGACAATTGGCCAGTTTCTCCAAGAGGCGATCATGGGACACCAGATCGAAGGCTTTTTTGAAGTCAAGATATATGACATCAATCTCTTCTCCCTTGTCCAGGTGATAGGTCACCTGGTCGTAGAAGGAAATGAGATTGGTCAAGCAAGACCTACCCGCAACAAACCCGTGCTGGCTATCCCTTAAGATGTTGGCGTCGGCCAGTCCATTAAGGATGGCCTCTTTAATAAACTTTTCTAAGATCTTCCCCGGGATAGAAGTCAGGCTGATGGGCCTATAGTTAGCCGGATCCACTTTCCTCCCTTTCTTGAAGATAGGCACCACATTGGCCTTCTTCCAGTCTTCGGGCACTACACCAGAGCGCCAAGAGTTTTCAAAGATCCGTGCTAGAGGCTGGGCTATGATGCTCGCCAGCTCCTTGAGTACCCTGGGGTGGAGATTGTCAGGGCCAGCTGACTTGAAGGTATCCAGCTTCTCAAGATGTTCCTTCAGAAAGTCAGCATTAATGGAGGGCAGGGGATCACCCTCACCCGGACTTCCCGGCCCTGTAGCGGGCATGGGCGTCCCATGGGACTGATGAAAGACTGACGCAAAGTACCTATTTAATAGGTTGGCTTTTTCCTGGGCGTCAGTTGTCAGTTGCCCCATCTGGCTCAGCAGGGGTCCAATGTTGCCTCTGCTTTTCCTCCGGCTCCCCACATATCTGAAAAAGGACTTCTTATTGTCCTTGATGCTCAAAGCTAGCTGGAGTTCAGTTGCAGCCTTGGCTTTCCTGGTCTGCTCCCTACAGGACCGGACCAGTGCAGAATAATCCTCCTTGGAGGTGACTCCCATCCTCCATCCTTTGTAGGCCTTTCTTTTTAGCCTCAGGAGATCTGCTAGGTCCCTGGAGAGCCAGGGGGGCTGCTGTGCCCTCTTGCTGCCTTTCCTCCGAGATGGAATAGACTTAGTTTGTGCATTGAGGATCGCTCCCTTGAGGAGCAACCACTCCTCTTGAACTCCCCTCTCCCTGTGGTCACGGTCCCTTAGGGCCTCACTGACAAGCCTCCTTTGCTTGTCAAAGTCGGCTTTCCTGAAGTCAAGGACTTGCGCGTTGCTGACCGACTTGCCAGCTTTTCGGCGGATGGTGAAGGTGATCAGCTCGTGGTCGCTGTCACCCCGCTTCCCATCGATCACTAGGTCGCCGACTAGGTCATCCCCAGTAGCCAGTACCAGGTCGAGCAGCGCTTTGCCTCTCGTTGGCCCATAAACTTCTTGAGTCAGGTAGAGGTCATCCACGCACGAGAGGAAGCTCTGCGACCGCTCAGATTTTGCTGAGCGATCCTCCCACGAGATGTCTGGGTAATTGAAGTCACCCATGACAACCATGGTCCTGGAGCAAGCTGCCTCAGCCAGTTCCTGGGCAAACTCCTGGTCAAGCTCAGGACTTTGAGCGGGAGGTCTGTAATAGACTCCCACCATTGTGTCCCCTGTGCCGTGTTCCCCACGGATTTTAACCCAGAGGGTCTCCAGCCGTCCACCCTGGTCGCCAATATTGGCTTGCAATGTCAGCTTGTAATGACTTAAAACAAATCTGGGATAAGATGTGGCATGGAAGATTTCAGAAAAATTCTTCTTTTCTGGGAAAGTTATGTTATGGGTATGCTGAAAACAGGGCTTATGAAGTGGGGTTCCAACCTCTACTTCAGAGCACTTAATAACACCCCCTAATGATTATGCTCATTGCTCTCCTCTTCAAGATAAAGGAATACTGTTTAAATTAGAATCATGCAAATTAAACAATGCCCTTCCTGAAAGAGACCTATACAGGATCTTAACAGTATGCTACAAAGTCTTCCAATTAGGAAGGTTTAAAGTTGTAGTTACTGTATTCAAAAGCTAAACATTAATAAAGTGGATAGGGTAAACAATTTGCTTTGTTTTTCACTCTGTTCTTTTGAAACCAGTAGAATGACAAGACTAAATAGCTTTGTGTCCCCATCTGCCAGTATCAAATTTGGTAATACAATGGCTGGAAAACAAATGGTTAAAAACATGTTTAGCGCTTGGTAAAGCCATCCCAGCTATAACATTAACTAATATTTCTCATGAAAAAATATAATGAAACAATAAAATAAAAGTCAGAAGCATTACTAGTGGTGTTATGTGGTGACTGTTGCAAAACTTACCTAGGGAAGCCCATGAAGGGGCCTGCCAGATGTCATTGAGTTGCCAATACAGCGCTCCCATCGTATGTCCCTGTCCATCAATTACCTCGCTTTGAGAACGACGATAGAACTCGGTTTCTGTTTTTATACATTGGGCCTGCATAACCTTGTTCAACAAACGCATTAAAAAGGTGTTATTTTTAGTTTGGCTAACTACTGTCAAGACAATTTGTACAGTAAAAGTTCTGTTAATGGGCATCTTACAAGCCAGCATGCTCAAATAACCAGCATGCCAGCTTGTAAGATAAAGTGAAACCAGAAGTGCCCACCATAGCACTTACGGTTTCTCCGAGCCCCACGGCCAAGGGCAAAGCAGCCTGTGCTGCTGAGCCTCTATGGCCTGGGGGCATAATAGTCTGTGCAGGGCCCGGCGGGACACCCCAGATGTGGTGGGAGAAGCAGCAGCCCGGGCCGCTCAATTAACTGGCATATCTTGTTATCCAGCATCCCCCATTCCCGGGGGATGCTGGATAAGAGAGCTTTTACTATGTATAAATACGCATGTATGGGAGAAAAATACTTCACAGGAACTGAATAGAACTTCAGATTTAAGCCCTGAAAATGGCATCAACATGCTTAGCTCCATGCATTTCCAGCCCCTCCAGGAGCCTCATGGGCAAAATGGCACAGCTCCTTGGGCCAGATACAGTCCATGGGATGCATCTTTGACACCTGATTAACAGTCATACATTTTCAAAGATTTTACAGTCGAAAAGGACCTATTAGATCATTGCGTCCAACCCCCTGCCCTGGGCACGAAAGAGTGCTGGGGTCAGATGACCCCAGCCAGGTGTTTGTCCAATCGCCTCTTAAATACATCCAAGGAAGGGGACAGCACCACCTCTCTTGGAAGCGTATTCCATATTTTGGCAACCCTCACTGTAAAGAAGTTTTTCATGATGTCCAATCTAAATTAGCTCTCCTTCAATCTGTGGCCATTGTTTCTAGTTACCCTGATGGGGACCTTGGTAAACATTGTATCCCCTATTTCCTGCTGTCCCCCCCAGCAGTTTGTAGATGGCCACAAGATCACCTCTCAGCCTTCTCTTGAGGAGGCTGAAAAGATTCAGGTCCCTCAAATCAGTCCTCATAGGGTTTTTCCTGTAAGCCTTTAACCAGACAGGTGGCCCTCCTCTGAACCCTTTCCAGGTTATCCACATCCCTCCTGAAATGTGGCACCCAAAACTGGACACCATACTCCAGCTGCAACCTAACCAATACCGCATACAAGGGAAGTATCACCTCCCTAGACCTGTTTGTGATGCACCTACTGATGCAAGGAAGAGTGTGGTTAGCTTTACCTATTACTTCATCCTTTGGTGCAGGAAAGAGGAAAGGAGAGGAAATAAAGGAGCCCCTTTGTGCCCTGGTCTCTCTAGTGGAATGGGTCAGACGCACAAAATGGCTTCATATTGAGCTTGTAAATTCTTCAGGGCGGAGCCTGTGTTTCTTTGCTATGTGACTATAGCCTTGACCTGCAAGTAATGATCAATTACAGGTACCTGCCACTAGATTGTGACATGCTGTTACCTGAGTGAGGTAAATTGTATCCTTGAACTTTTTTAAGGGGTCTGCACTCTGGGGCAGCTTGAAGTGAAGTCCCGCCTGTTGAAGCATTTCATAATTACCACTGGCATGGTGCTGTCGATGGAGAGAGAAATTGCTTGCATAAGACCAGTCATCTGCAGAGGAGACCTTTGGGGAAAAGGCACAGAAAGAACTAAACAGACTGGAAAGAAACAGAGGAACGTGCCAGCTCCTGATCTTGGTGAATTAGTGGTGAATTGGCTAGCGCAGAATGGCAAGGTGAAAAATATACATACGTATCAGCTGTGTGTCATCTCCTAGAATCTTTAGACTGATACTTTATACTTCTGCCATATCACTGAAATAAGGATCTCTACATAAATAAGTTCAGAACACCCTGGGGTATAAATGTCATCTCCTTTAACAGATAGCTAAAGCCAGTGAAAACACACAAACGGGGGTTTGTATCTGCATGCATTCCGAGGTTGAATCTGGCAATGAAAACTTAAGTACTCTTGTGTTCACAGTCCAAGTCAACAAGCAGAGCTAGGACTTAGATCCAGAAGGGCCTGTCTGCCAGTCACTCGCTCTCACTCTACATCAGTAAGCTTCCTTATTCAGTTCTTTAGAGAACAGAAAAAACTAATGTCCTTTCCTAAAGAGGAAGTTACACAGAGGCTACCAATCCTATAATATCAGTAATGCACATTCATAACTTCTTGTCATCTACCTCTGGAATCACACACACAGAATAATTGTAATTTCTTGAGTGAAGAATGGTGGGATATTAGAATTCACATAATTATGGCTATTATTGTTGATTCTTTATTGTATTCATGATTTCTAAGAAACTAATTTAAATTAATTCTTTATTTTGATAGACTATAAAGTTTTTCACTGTCTGTAATTACAGAAGACAGCACTGATGTCTCAAAAAAGGGAATATATTTCACTCAGCATATTGAAGACAACATTTTGAACCCTTAAGTAAATTTTTAATCAACTCATGCTTGGATCAATATGATATGCTTTTCCCATCTGACTGAATAAATGGGTGGATAGATGAAACAGAGACACACCACATCTAATCTGACTGGATAAATGAGATAGGATGTGTTGTGTGTCCCTATCTAATTAAATTATTTGCAGAGATTTGGACAGATGGACAGTGCAACCTTATCTTGGAGTAAAAAGCCAACATTAAAAGCCTGGTATGATAAACGTAGATCAATTCAGTACATTTTAGTAAAAAAACTAAAGGGATATTTGCAATGCAGGCATCACTTTAGAAGCACAGTCCACAGAAACAGTTGTCTAGAAAATACACTGTGCACACTTTAGTCAACAATTACAAGCTACAAACTAAACCAGATCAATTAGGAGTCTGATGATAATACAAAAGAGGCTCATATATTTTGGCATGGCCATCTTGCTTTTTAATACAGCAAGTGACAACATTACATACTGTTAGTTCTGATCAAAGAGATGGTAAATTGAGAGCTATTTTGGTATATGATGTTAATAGGTATGAGCAATAAGTACCTTAACATTTCAAACAGTACAAGCTTCTCTGTTTAAAGAGTCCAAGAATGTGTCACTAATTGTTTAGGAAAGCAAAAGCAATTTTTAAGACACTGACATTAAAATAAATTGTAGCAGATTGTGGACTCTGACAGTTAAATAATGGCAATAGTAATAAACCATGACTGCAGATATTCACCTTGGCTGTTGTGAGAAAAGCAGTTGAAAAATGTTCACCCACTCTCTCCTTCCATTACCAATATCATACCTAACATTTTCCTGTACCAAAATATGTCATTTCAGCTACTGTCAAAACATTGGAGTTTTTTGGCAAATTATTCACTTTGTAACCCAAATTAAAAAGGGGACAGATACAGTTTTGAAAGTTTTACCTTACCTTTTCCAGTGTACTGAAGGAAGGCCAGGACTGAAACCCGTACTCTGAGGCAAATCGAGCTTTAGGATATATTCTCCAGTCCCAGCAGTCCCTGGTGTAGTCATAGAAGTGAACGTCACCGTAGTGGGTATCATAAGGATTTGGGGAGAGCCAACCTTCTTTAATGGTTTCAAGACCATTGGTGGGACTAGACACAATAAAAGGACGACTTTTATCCTCCTGAGTTAAACAAAACAAACACAATAACCGTGTAACATGATTCATTTCATCATTATCTTGATATCCAAACCACATCCTAAAAAGTGAAATGACTTTGCCAAATTATTAAGTCATTGTCTAGGAAACACATTCCTTTTTTGTCTTGTCATAGGACAGCAGGGCTGGAAGGAACCGCACAAGATCAACTAGTCCAGCTCCCTGACATTGATCATCTCTCATGTTTAATGTATTTTGAGCTCTGAGACCAAGTCTTACTGGATACAATACTATTTCGTATTTCTGAAGGATTCTCTACTCTCCTCAAGCAATTTGCTATCTTTAAATGCTTCTACATTCTTAATGACAGCTATTCGCAGCAATCCTAGTGGAAAACAGATTGAATGATCATTAATATTTGTATGCCATGACTTTTTCTTCTGCAAGTAAAATTACCATATTTGTAACATTTTTGCAATAGCAAAGCTATTATTGTTTTTTAATTTTATTTTATTATTCAGTAGCCACTGAACCTTAGTTATAATGCACCTGAGGTATGCTACTACTTGTCATGGACAGATATACTGTTTGAAACACAAGGGCCTTTGAAGTGCTCCAAGTAGTGAGTATGTAGACATGCATAGCTGAAGTTATTCAAAAATGGCTGAAACATTTCAACATGAACCCTTGAAAAAAAAAAATAAGGAACATTTCTGAAGTCCTTCCTGAAAAGTCTGCATGATTGAGCGGTCCTCTGGCATTCTATAGTGCTCTACTACGGGGAGGTAGAGGGGAACAAAAGGAAATGGTGCTAAAGCTCACCCAATTTGAAGTGCTTTGGAATTCTGAGCACTTCAAATACATGTCTGTCCACAGCCTTTGTTCAATGGCACTGTCATTTGCTTCTTTTTTCACCGGTTCCACATTTTAGGCCAGGTGAGACTTCAGGGTAGGCTTTCAGTATTTCTAATCATTAGCATTTAGAGCCTCTTACCAGTGTCACCTAAAATACTAAAGGGCTTATTTTGCTATTCTAACACATTTACAGTCACATTTTCAGGAAGGCAGGCCAGACATTCTCTACTCAATAGAATGGCTCCAATACAGCAAAGAACTTAGGGCACATGCTTCATTTTAGATATGAGGAGTCCTATTCATTTGTTCTCAATGTGCAAGTGGCACTGCTTATCCCCAACCACTGAAGTCATTATATCGGAGGTCGGCAATGTTTTTGGGCAGAGGGCCAAAAACACCCACAACCTCTACTTGTAAGACGTTGGCATGCCAGGGCAGACAGCAGGGGAGCCACAAGGGGCCTAATCCCTGTTGTAGTAATGCAGCCCTGACCTCTTCCCCCAGGCATGTATGCCAAGCAAAATACCTTTGTTTTCTGGGTTTGTTCCCCTGCTAGAAAAACTTACCTGGAGATGCCTGAACAGACATTTGAATGCTGCACCTCTGAAGAGCAGGGAGCTTGCAGTGCTGATGCTGTGCAGCCAGAGGGCCCCTGAGCACACATCAGCATTCTCTGCAGGCTCCCTTAGTCTTCCTGGTGATAGATGACAGCAGTGTAGAGGGCAGGCCTGACTGGCTGACCCACACTGCTCAGAAACAGCTTGTGTCTCCCTGAAGCACAATTTGAGGATTGTGAAGGGGAAGTGTTCTGCTCTCTACTCGGCTGGTTTAGTAGATTCTGGTCAGTGACACTATCTCCCTGAGGTGTGGAGAAGAAAAGCATCCTGGGATACTAGAGGACTATGTTGTGGCTTCTTGCAGAAGGGTAAGTTGTACAGAAGAAACTGTCCCAGGAGTGGTTTAACTCTGGTTGTCCCCAGATTACTTTTCTGGAGCATCCATTTTTGCTCTGAGAGAAAAATCCTAAACATCTGTACACTCATGTTTTTTCCTGGAATAGCAGCAACTCTCCTACAAGAAATGGAATGTCGGTGTGTGGCTGCAAATGACTGTACCCTCACTTAACAGTTTGTCTCAAAATTCTCCTTCCTCTTCCCTCCCCATTTAATGTTTTCCTGTACTTTTTAATTTCCAGTACTAAAATGGCTCTACTAAAACTGATTGTAGTACAGCTGCTCCAATAAGAACAGTGATGGGTTTTTTTTTAAATGGCATCACTTCTATTGTCTTCAGCCTACATTTTGATAGCATGGTCACATGCACCTTCTATATTTTACCACAGCTAGATGAATTAAGGTTAGTTCAGCATGACCAGATTCTATAGTAGTCAATGCATCAGGAAGCAAGAGGAATAACAGAGTAGGAAAAGGTAGGCATGTCTACACATGCAGTTAATGTGCATGAATAAACTATGCAGCAAACTGATCTGCAGTTAACAACTCCTGGGTGCAGCATCTACATATGCGCCTGAGCCAGGAGCAAACTGAGCCAGGGAGGAGCAGTTTAGGCCACGGCTACTCCTGCCCTCCCCTCCCCACCCTGCAGCAGCCAAGGGGAGCTCCAGGCTCCAGTCACAGCTGTCCAGGTGCCAGCCCTGAGCTGGCAGCGGGCATAGGGTGGGAGGAGGGGGTCAGACCCAGGCTCCAGGTGGCTCTATCAAGTGACAGAGGAGCTACCTTAGCTATGAGGTTCCTGCAGCTAGCAGTGTGGCCTCCTGCTGGCTGTACTGACCAGGACCAATTTATTCCTGGATCGGCATCTACACATGCATTGCTGGGTAGTAAATAACTTTGCAGCAGGATAGTATTTGTATTTACAAGTACTATTCTGCTGCAAAGTTAATTTACTCCAGCCAAATAGGGGTGCACATTTAGAAATTTGCTGCGCAGTTAATTAGTCTACTGCACAGTAAATGTCTTGTGTAGACACTCCCGGGTATCACTTAATTTTCCAGTGGTAAAGAGAAGTTTTAATTGGAAAAATATCAGTTTTATTTTGCATTTCTCAATACCACATACAACTTTCGCTAACTGGGAAGATCAAAACATTAACCTGGAGCTCAGGAATGACTTTCTGCCCAACTATTCAGGAATGAAAGATCATGTAGAACAATCTTGTTCTGTGCTGCAGTAGCAGTGGGCAATTTGCAATGCTTCTGTGTTTTTTCTTCTCCTACCAAAACAGGACGCTCAAGTCTACCATTTTACTCTTTACTGGAAATGGAGCTTCATTTTAAAAAGGATGGCCATTAGTCATGGCAGGTCTCAACTGTAGGAGGGGATTGTTAGCTGTAGAGGGGACTCCTCTGGGTGACCATGCCATCCACTCCCAGAAGAAAGTAAGTATACCAGCCTGACTTCTCATTTTCTACTGGGATCTGCTGCAGGAAGACTGGGAGACACGATTCCTACTTATCATTATCATTCTATCATATTTTCTATTTCACTCATTTTTCCTTCACCCTCTGCTCAGAGGAAACAGAGGTAGGTTAAAACTTGAAAGCAACACTTAACACCTATCTGGAAATGACTACAAAGGAACTCAATTAAAATGGAGCAAACTTCATTACTGTTACCCACAGAAAGAATTTTAGGCATGCCCCCCATTCTTTATCTAGGAGCTGTACAACTCTACTTGTGACTGAAGCTGGCCAGATATTTTTACCAGCATGTCATCTTAGTTTGGTTTAAACTTTTGTCTTTGATATCCCTAAAGGAGTGGCACCAGTGGTCACTGGTAGTCTATTACAGGTCTCAGTTTTGCATTCTGTAAACATGGAAATGAAAAAGTCTGGCAATTCGGGATTTTCCATCCATTTCACTGTAGATAGAGCTTCACTACAAATAAGTTTATTATAAGTAGGTTCCACTGTACAATAATAAAATGAAACAGAAACACTGAACTTTCCAGGACAAGGAGGAAAGCTACAAAAACTGCAACAAAAATTAGTAAAGTCAAATTACAACAGACTTTGCTGTGGAATAGATGTCTTTGTCAAAGTTTGAACAACATATCTCTCTTTTATTAGAGGGTGAAGAAAGCTAACAATCCATTATCAGAGACCTGAAAGATGACCTCCAGCAAAATCAGAGGCAAGTAGATTTTCTCATTGTATATATTTATAAAATAAAAAAAATACGGAGAATGCTCCCTGCAAGCACATTTGTTAAAGACAGACAAAGTGGTGGCAGGAAAAAGAAAGGCAAGTTCCTCCTAATTCAGTTAGTTATTCTTCACACTTCCTAAAGCAACAAAGACAACAAGCCTATTTTCCTCCTTCATGGATGAATTTTAAAGAAATACATGAATAAAATTGGGAGAATATAACTAGGGGAGCAAATTTATTTTCCATAAACAGGTACTCTGCCCAGACAGCAGATTTTAAAACCTTTGCTACTTTCCTCCCCCTCTTTAATCCCTGAAAAAGCTACTTACAGCAAGAACAATTTCTCGGATATTCTTCACATAAAGCATCACATAGTCTTTGACAAAAACATTCTTCTCAGCATAAGGGATAGAGAACCAGTTGTCTGCAATTGCTGCTTCATTTTCATTGTTTCCACTCCATAAAATAATGGATGGATGAGATTTTAATCTCTTTACCTGAAATAAAAATCACAGCTTCAACCTTCTAATGAAGTTAGGCCTCTTTTACATGATGCCTTTTAATACTTATAAACAAGCTGAAAATAATTTAAACACACACTTGTGGATATCTCTGCCATGTTAAATGATCTGAATAATGAAAACTATGATAGATTCTAAATGATACAGCAAAATGACAGCTACAAGTATAAGGACCCAATCCTGCATACAGGCTCGTGAGCAATTTTACTCCATGACTAGCTATATTTACATCAACAATACACATTTGTGGCTGGCTTTAAAAGATGTGAATAATTGGTATTTTCATTTTAAAATGTTTCATGTGGTGGAAGACAGGAATTTTTTTAAACTTAAAAAAAAACCCCAAGCCTTGCCAACCACTCCCCCAAGAAATAAGCAAACAGACAAACAACAAAATGATGTTCAGCCTAGCAAAAAATGCAATCTTGCCTTCTCTCAAAACAAGTGCAAGTGTGGTGGGGAAAAAAGAAGGAACCCCATGTTATCCCTAGAATAATCTCCAACATTCCAGTGTCTACCACCCTTTACCTTGCTTCTCTACAGGTCTCACTTCTTTGGGAAAAGTAGTACTGGCACATCTACAGGCTCAAGAAACAAGCTAACTAACTCTACCAGTCATTAACAAGCTGGGGTTTGAGTATACTGAAATATGATGACTCCTTGATCCTATTGAATAACATACCTGATGAGTAACTTCAGCTCTTACTGATTCTAAGTAGTTCTGGTCAGTTGGGTAAAGAGCACATGCGAACATAAAATCCTGCCAAATCTACAGGGAAAGAAAAAGGTAATACAAAAAGAAAAAAAAAAAAAAATCTCAGCAAATATTTTTCTACACTTGAACAATATATAACATTTTCAGATTGCCTAGATGTTGTTTTGAATATCATCAAAACAACTGCATTCCACAGCAGGCTCAACTCACTCATTTCTCTTCCCTACTCTCTCCAGCTCCCCAGGATAGATTTCCTTTAAATTTAGAGTTTTAAGCCATTTCTTTATCATTATGAACCACATTCTTCCATCCTTACGCATGGTCAACAGACTCTTATTCATTCAAATCAAGCAGCAATGCTAATTTAAATGGGAGGTACATGCTAATCTAAAGTAGATGTTTCAGAGTTCATAGTTTCATAGTTGTTAGGGGCTGGAAGGGACCTTACAGATCATCATGTCCAGCCCCCACTGCACTTGGGTAGGAAAGACTGCTGGAATCAGATGACCCCAGCAAGATGGGCGTCAAGACGCTTTTTGAAGATTGTCAGGGTGGGTGATTGTACCACCTCTGGGGGGAGCCTGTTCCAAACCCCTGGCAGTCGACTTGTAAAGAAGTTTTTCCTTATGTCTAGCCTGAAGCGATCCTCAATCAGCTTGTGCCCATTATTTCTTGTCCTCCCCTGATGGGGCTTGGTGAACAGATGTTCCCCCAGGCCCTGATGTACGTCTGTGATATACTTATAGGCTGCCACCAAGTCCCCTCTGAGTCTGCTCTTCTCCAAGCTAACAGTCCCATGTCTTTCAGCCTGTCCTCGTATGACCTGCTCTCTAGGCCTCTAATCATGTGCATGGCCCTCATTTGGACTCTCTTGAGCCTCTCCAGATCCTTCCTGAAGCGCAGCACCCAGAACTAGAAGCAGAACTCCAGCTGCGGTCTCACCAAGGCCAAGTAGAGAGGGAGGATGACATCCTTAGCTTTGCTCGAGATGCCTCAGTAGATGCATGCCATTATTTGACTAGCTCTGACCCAGACTCTAGTTACAAGGTTGTACTTAGTTCTACAGTTGAACATCCTCTGCTAAGAAAATCCTGAGATCCCTGACACTTACAGGGCAGGGTGGCATCACAGAGATTAAGTTGGGTAGTATCTGACAAAGCAGGCTGTCACCTATGAAAGCTCATGCGTCTCTGAACCAGTTAATCTCCAAGGGTGCCTACAGACACGCAGGGATGCTGTTCTAATGCACTGTAATTACAGCGTATCAGAACAGACTCAATCAATCGAGTCTGCTGGAGCATGCTAATTAGCGCACTCCAGCAGCCTCCGCGTCTCATGTATTCAGCGTCCCCATGCTTCAGAATGGTAGTGGGAATGCTTTAACTAATGCTCGTTAAAGCACCTCCGCCGCCATTTTGAAGCATGGGATGCTGAATACACAAGAGGCTGCAGGCACTTTAATTAGAGCAGCTCTTGGAGCTGCTCTAATTAAAGTGCCTCCCCCAACCCCCAGACCACATGTAAAGACACTCGAAGGTAACAAATTGGCTACCGAAGCTTTGCACAGCCCTTATACCTAACTAGCTAGCTGCTGCCTGAGGGACCATCTCCCAATTCCCCACCTCTCAGTCTCCAGTTAGAGAGCCTCCTTAAATCATAACTTTAATTATCACATAAAGGGGACAACAAAGGTAAGAAAAGCATATTTTCCATCTAGTCTATTAGTTGCACAGTCCAACAACCCCAAAAGAGCCATTTCATTAATATCCTAAAAAGAAGAAATTTTAAAAATGAAATAACTGCAATGGGACAAGGAAAATTTGTCGATCTTGGTTTTACAGCATCTGACAAAGTAGGTTATTGTCTACAAAAGCTCATGTTCATCTGAACCAATTATTCTCTAAGATGCCAGCCACCCTTACCATATGCCTTACTTGAAGTCTCTGATTTTGAGAATCTTAATAGAACCTCTTTTCAGGGTATGAAGAGAAAGCCCTGTTCAGAAATGGTGTTTCAGAAGACTCACTGTGGGAAAAGCCCTGCTCCAATCATGGCAGCACACCTTTCTAGGCAAGAAGCCAAGAGGCCATCCAGGTAGTGCCTTTCCTGCAGTGAGATGCATTCCTTCAGTGCATCTTTCTCTGAAAGATCTGAGAAAATATCTGTTATGAATTGTGAAATCAAGAAAACGTTATGATAGAAACAAGCACATCAACACAACGAGCACAGTATTCAGTGCAGGATCAAGCCCTTAAAACTGATTAGGTTCTGTTAGAGACAGCCTAGAGCTAAATACCCTTTATTTAAAAAACACTGCATCAAAAATGTCTAACTCCATACTCAGAATATTAGGGCCAGTGAACTGTAACTTCCCTTTTCCTTGTTTTTACTGAATTACATGACTTGACTTGGAATCATTTACAATTCTTTACAAGAAAGCAGGAAAAGCAAAGGAACAATTGATCAGCATTAAAAGTTAATCTTACCAGGTTTTCATAGAAGGCCCTCTCAAGATCAAATGTTTCAAAAGAAAGGACCCAATCTTTTAGGGTGTGAGGAAGAGGGTGCTCTTGGAGCTGCTCTAATTAAAGTGCCTGCAGCATCACATGTATTAGCATCCCACACTTGAAAACGGTGGTGGGGGCATTTGAACTAAAGCTCATTCAACAAGCTTTCCTTAAAGTGCCACTGCTGCCATTCTGAAGTGTGGGGACGCTGAACAGACATGACACGGAGGCTGATGGAGCATGTTAATTAGCATGCTCCGGCAGACTTGAGTCTGCTCCGACGCATGCTAATTAGCACATGTCAGACCAGACATCCAGCACGTGTATAGGTGCCCTTAGGCACAAATTTAGGCTGCTACATGAGGCACTGATGTTTTAATGAGCACAGGAAAGACAAAAAGTTGAAGGGCTTACCTAAGGGCCAAGAACCAGCAAATAAAAGAACAGCAACTGCTCAGAAGTTTTGAAAACTTTTTGCAGATGACATCAAGCTGGGTAGGGGAGTAGAACTGCTGGACTCTAGGGCTAGGATTCAGAGTGACCTAAACAAAAAGGATGGATGAATGGACCACAAGAAATCTCAAGAAGTTCAATAAGGACAAGTGCAAAGTCCTGCACTTAGGATAGAACAATCCCAGGCTGAAAACTGACTGGCTAAGCAGCAGCTCTACAGAAATCCTGGGAGTTACCATGGATAATAAGCTGAACAGAGACAATAGTGTGCCACTGTTGTGAAGAAGACTAACAGCAAACTGGGCTGCATCAGCAGGAGTGCTGCCAGCAAATTGACGGAAGTGATTATTCACCTCTATTTGACAGTGGTAGGACTACATCTGGAGTACCATGTCCAGTTTTGAGCCCCCCACTACAGAAAGGATGTGGACAAATTGGAGAGTTCAGTGAAGAGCAACAAAAATGGTGAGGGGGTTGGGGAACATGCTTCACGAGAGGTTGAGAGAACTGGGCTTATTTAGTCTAGAGAAGACAGAGGGGTGTCCCAGGGACACCAGGGTTAGAAGGAAACCCCGGGGCAAAACCAGGGGGGAAGTAAACACTTACTTACCCCACGCAGAAGCCGGAGGGTGCAGGGACACGCGCACGGGAAAACCGCCGGCGCAATTTGTAAGCCGCGCTTACATCCAGCTGGGGCCGGGCGACGTCAGCAGGGGACGCCACCCGGCAGGAATAAAAGGCGGCCCTGGGAGAAGAGCAGGGCCAGAAGTGGGGAAAGCCCGCAGGGAACCCCGAGAATGGGACCTGCACCCACGGGGCCCATGTACCCGGCCCGACGGGGGAAGTTGTGACAACAGCAGCGGCGTCGGCAACGGCGGTGAGAACGGCAGCCGCAGCTGCAGCAGCGACAGCCGCGCCGTTAAAGGAGCCGGCGAAGAAAGCTGCAGCTACAGCAGCGAGAGCTGCGTTCTTAAAGGAGCTGACGGAGAAGGTGGAGACGACATTGGCGGCAAGACTAAAGAAGGCACCGGCTACGGTTCCGGTAAGGGAGCGGGCAGTGTAGCCGGTGAGGAAACCGGCAGCGGACTTGGCGAGAGAGCCGACAGACGGGCTGGCGGAAGAACCGGCAGTGGAACCGGCGAGGGAGTGAACGCCAGATACGAGACTCCCAGAGAGCGGGAGCCATGGTCCCGGAGAGGAGACACCCGGGGGAGTC